TGTTTTATATCTTTAACAATATTGATAAACCACTTGCTTCTTCACACACAATATTGTTAGATTTCATACCTTAAATTTAAAGGAATTTGTGTTATTACATTACCACAACATAGAAAATATATTATTTTTAAATTATGTTTAATAGAGATTAATGAAAGATGAAATTTATCCTTGAAAATTTAAATTAGTTTAGTATAATCTTTTGGATATGGTGATTTTTTTCTCGGGTGATGGTTGTTAACAATCCCCAAACCCTTTTTTTTTTATTTAGAATAAACTAAATTACTTTTCATGCTATATTGCTTATTAGACCAAAGTTATTTTGAATATATAAAAAAAAATATTCAGGTTGCGGTGAACTTTTTAATATTGTCAATAAACCAATATAGCGGGTCAAACTTAAAAACTCACAATCTAATTGTGTTTTTTAGAAAAAAAGTATTGATAAATATGATAAGATCACATAACAAATTTATTAAAAATCTTACAAAATAAAAACTTTATGTTGATTATATATCATAATATTTTTTTTCATATTAAACATATATCAACTAAAAAAATTAAAGTTTAAATTTCCAAAAAACACCTATATTATTATTTGTGAAAGATGACAAAATTGAATAAAAATTTTCTATAATGCATTTAAATCTAAATTCATAAAAAAATTAAAGAAGAAAAAAATAGAAAGAAGTAAAAAGTGCTAAGTGTGTGGGCTTGGTGTAGGTGGCCTAATGCGCTTTGGCTTCTAAAGAAACAAAGCTCGAGCATTGGTTTCCCGACCATAGTTGTACTTAGACTTTATTTTTTTATTAAAAAATATGTAAACAACATATAATCATTTTTTTTTAGAATTCAGCCATAATAAAAGAGATTGAAAAATCAAGATATTTTTGTACCAAAAAGTAAAAAAATTAACTATTTTTTTCCTGAAAACACTCTAAAGACCTAAATAACTCTAGTTATGACATCAAATAACTTAAAAATGAGTTGAAAAACAAAAAAATCAACTCTAATTGATAATGGAACTCAAAGGGAAGGCCAAAAAACATTATAATAGAATTTTTCTCGTCAAATGAAACCTTTTGGTAGAAAGATCGATTTTTTCCATAGCTAGAATTGGTGTTAACTAATCACTTTCTCTCTCCTTATTATTTTTAGGTAATTTTCTCTCTCCCCTCTCTATTATAGGGACTGAAAAATTTTAAAAATAAATAAATTTTTTGACCAAAATACAAATTGTCATTAATGTAGAATTAACCATAAACTTTCTTTGTATTTTATATTTGATTTCTTTATCTTTAAATGTTGTATTCTTACCATAATTTCAAGCCTAATATGTTTTAATTTGGCTATAGAAAAGCTTGATTGAAAAAGAGTAAAAAAAATAAAAAAGAAGAAGAAAAAGAAGCATGCAAGGTGTTAAGTTCACTCTTCATGTGAAATAAACACATTTTACTTTTGTATTTATTAAAACAATAAATATTTCTAAAAACTAACTTTTTTACATCTTTAAAAGGTGTATTTATAACAACGCTTGTAATATTTTATTTTTATTTTTGAATCTTTGGTAAACAAAAAGGGATATAAGCTCTACACTTGTCAAGAAAGAATACCATATAAAAGAAATAATTTTTCTTTCTAATTTGGTTGTATTTTTTTTTTATAGTAAAAGAAAATTAGGTTACGATGGAGAAATGAGTCAACCTAAACTTCACAAGCATGAAGCTATCAAGAAAGAAGGGTTAAAGTTTCTAAAAGAGAAATACAGCCTAAATATAGTTCAAGAAGAAAAATGCCTAAGAACTGTGTTTTTTGCACAATTAAATAACTAAATTGCCCTTATAAAGAAAAATGTAATAAGTTGTCAAACAAGGTTGTTTTTATTTTTCTCTTTTTATTTGAACAATGCAAAGGTGATTGTGCCTTTAAAAAGAAAAAAAATGGATAAATTACTGTCCATGACTGTTTGTTTTTTCACTTTTTTTTTGTTATATTTATGTTGAATTAAGTGCAATTTAGTCTTTTATTAAATATAGAATATTAAAAAAAAATGTCTCATGCATGACATAAGTAGCAGGTCAGATGCTCCACTGTTTTTTAGCGATGCGTGCAGGTGATTTTGACGGTCAACAATGAGCTTTCTTGATGCGGTTGGATTCATCTCAACGACCCCTCTTTTCCAAGATGCCTTGTGTGGCATTTTGACCTCCGGTTTGGTATTAGTAAGCTTTTTTTTCTCTTATTACCTCAATTTTTGCGTGTGGCATCTCAAAAATTCAAATTAGCTTTTCAATTTGTTTTTCATTCAGATTTAATTTTTGTTTTTTTATTTTTTTATTAGAATTTATAAATTTGGAATTTTCTTTAATTTCATCCTCTTTTGTGTCAAATTTGATTCTTATTCTTTTGATTTTTATGTATTTTGTTTTAGATAATTTTTTGAATTGTGGTTTTTTATAATTTCATCCCTTTCAATTTCTTTTTTTATACGATATGATTTGTTTTTTATGTAATTTTTTTTGCATTAGCAAAAATTTTTTTTATGATTTTATTCTTTAATATTAAATTGATTTAGAATTGAGTTTTCTTATTAAACTTGAGCTTAAGATTTTACAAGTTATAAGTTTGGGGCATTAATTCAGGTTTAGAATATTCACACGGGTTGTCTTGTTTTTTTCTTTTTTTTAAGTTAATTTTTTTTTAGTTTCATCATTCACCGTATGTTTATTTTTCAGTTTCACCCTCCTTGAATTTTTTATTTGTTTTAAATTTTTTAGCGATGCGTGCAGGTGATTTTGGCGGTCAACAATGAGCTTCCTTGATGCGGTTGGATTCATCTCGACGACCTCTCTTTTCCAAGATGGCTTGTGTGGCATTTTGACCTTCGGTTCGGTATTAGCAAGCTTTTTTTTTCTCTTATTACCTCAATTTTTGCGTGTGGCATCTCAAAAATTCAAATTAGCTTTTCAATTTGTTTTTCATTCAGATTTAATTTTTGTTTTTTTATTTTTTTATTAGAATTTATAAATTTGGAATTTTCTTTAATTTCATCCTCTTTTTGTGTCAAATTTAATTCCTATTCTTTTGATTTTTATGTATTTTGTTTTAGATAATTTTTTGAATTGTGGTTTTTTATAATTTCATCCCTTTCAATTTCTTTTTTTATACGATATGATTTGTTTTTTATGTAATTTTTTTTGCGTTAGCAAATTTTTTTTATGATTTTATCCTTTAATATTAAATTGATTTAGAATTGAGCTTTTTTATTAAACTTGAGCCTAAGATTTTACAAGTTATAAGTTTGGGGCATTAATTCAGGTTTAGAATATTCACACGGGTTGTCTTGTTTTTTTCTTTTTTTTAAGTTAATTTTTTTTTAGTTTCATCATTCACCGTATGTTTATTTTTCATTTTCACCCTCCTTGAATTTTTTATTTGTCATATTAGATCTTTATTGTTTTAATTTTAATTTTTATTTGTTTTAGATTTTTATTTTTTTGAAAACAATTGATTGATATCAAGATAATGGCAATATACAAGGCAGAAGGCCCTCACCATGATCCTGGACGATTGCAAACATTTTGCATGCAGATTTTTAGAATTTAAGCTTTTCTACAATTTCACTCCCTTCGATTTTTTCATAATATCATTTGATCATTATTTTCATCATTCACCGTATGTTTATTTTTCATTTTCACCCTCCTTGAATTTTTTATTTGTCATATTAGATCTTTATTGTTTTAATTTTAATTTTTATTTGTTTTAGATTTTTATTTTTTTGAAAACAATTGATTGATATCAAGATAATGGCAATATACAAGGCAGAAGGCCCTCACCATGATCCTGGACGATTGCAAACATTTTGCATGCAGATTTTTAGAATTTAAGCTTTTCTACGATTTCACTCCCTTCGATTTTTTCATACTATAAGTTGATCATTATTTTTTTATTATTATTCTTTTTTATTTAATATTTTTTAAATTTTTTATAATTTTATCTTTTGACATTAAATTTGTTTAAAATTAAATTTTTTATCTAAAAAAATTTGTTTAAAATTAAATTTTTTATCTAAAAAAATTTGTTTAAAATTAAATTTTTTATCTAGAATTTCAAATGTTGTGAGTTCGAGTAATTTGGCTTAATCTAGGAAATTTGCACAAGCTTCTTGTTTTTTTTTAAAAAAAAAATATTTTTTCAGTTTCATTCCTTAATAGTTATTTATTTTTTAAATTTCATTTTATCTTTTAATTAAACTCGAGATCAATTTCATCAACAATTCAGTTTCATATTTGCATGCTGTTTCACGACAGCAAACTAAACCTTTTTGTTAACCAAATCATCATTTAAACATGGTATTCAATTCGCTCTTGGCTCTTAAATGGAACAAGTCACACCAATATTTTATTTATTTATTAACACATGTAATGATGAAATGATTTTATCTTATTCATTGGTTCTGTTTTTTGTACTCATTTCAAATATTTTATTGTATATAGAAAAACAGCGACGCTCAAACTTTTTTTAATGAAGTAGTTGGGATTTTGATCACGACTAAAGGAGGGAAGTAAACAGCTGAAGTGATATAAGACTGATATTTTGAAAGTGTAAATCTATATGAAATTTCAAGGTCATCCATCACTTGCATGCGTAGCTTTCAGATCTAATCCAGGGACTGACTCGAAATTTCAAGAGTAATCACTTGCATGCATAGCTTTCAGATCTAATCTAGGGACTGACTCGAGAAAAAAGGCATGAGGCACTGAGTTACCATGTAATCATTTTTATTAAAACTGCTTTGTCCTTGAAAAATATTCTTTGGTGTTGAACCAAATGGATCACTAAGAATTCAGCTAAGCTAATCAAGTTTTATCGGGTCAAAAACTAGTCCGGTTCAACTCGAAACCAAGCCCAGGTCAGTCTCCATGTCAACCCTCCAAACACGTTTATCAACTATATGCTTGCATGGATCCAAAGGTCCAAGGAAATGCAATCACCACTTATATAAACCACACCAGGAGTACGCCTTATTCAGGATTTGAAAGGGAAATGAAAGTACCATTTACAAACCACATCAGGATCATGTGTTATTCAGGATCTGTACATGGGTTTTACAGGCTATAAAGAAGTTTCTTCTTCTCGCAGAATTCTATAATTGAGAAACAAAGCTAACCTGAAGACGGAAAAAAAGTATCCAGAATGTGACCCCTATTGATAAAATCAACAGCAGGTGAAAGTCAAACATGGAATGGAAGATTCAACCTGCAAGAGATCATCACATATTAGATCCTGAGCACAATCTAGTCATGACTAAACTAGAAACCGCTACACCATAGAAACTCTTTCATATGAATCATTTGCAAAACAGAACATTCCATCTTCGTTCCACCTATGATATATTGAGTGGAAAAACCAACATCTTGTGATGATTTCATTATTTCACAACAGGCCCATGGAAGAAAAATTTAAAACAGTTTATAACAAGCAATCATCCAAGATTGAAAAAAACAAATGTATAAAACATCACTTCAGAAAGGGTTTCATCATTAAGTGTGGCGCTTATTTCCCCTAAAATTGGAGGTCCTTGGTTGATGAGAGATAAACGGTAGATGAATGTCAATGTTCCTTGCTACCAGAACGGTGCAATCAGATTATTTGGCAGCATTATCAAGCTACCTGATTATCATTATTATAAAATTAACTAGAATAGTTATCAAAATTACCTCATGAACACTTTTCCAAAAAAGAATTTATGTAAATGTATTTGAATGAATTCCAAAAATGATGCACAATCTCCTGTTGTAGAGCCAAAGTCACATTTTATGTACATGAATTCGAATGAATCCCAAAATGATGCGTCCTCTCCTAATGCTAGAAACTCATGTGGAATTAGATACAAGATGAGAAAGCATTACAATGTTGTAAAGAACTAACCTCGGACCTGAATTTCAGGTGAAAAATTGACAAGTCTTGTAACTCAGAACATAGTATCTACCCATGGCTTCTAGGATCAACAGCTGAGCGCACCTTCCTGTTTTCTGCATTTGAATATTGTCCAACAACTCTGGCATGAGGTATGGATCCTTCCCCACGTGCAAGAGCTTCAACATTCTCAAGTAGGTACTTCCTTGGAAGCCTGCCAACTACATTACCCTCTTCATTCCCCTGTCTATCCAGGAATGCAAAGTGCGGAATACCCTCAACACCAAACTCATCAAGTTCTTGTTCCCACTTGGTATTATCAACGTTCAGCATAACAAAATTCACACGGTCCCTAAAAGGCAAGTGGCATTTAGCAGGCACATTTAAATTAACAGGAAACAACAGAATCACCAAGTAAAAGGAGATAACTCAAATATCATATAGCTAATCAACGCTTGATCAAGGCTGTTACTTGTACTGCTGCTCTACTTTGTAGACATCGGGAGCTAACTCTCTACATACTTCACACCAATCTGCATAGAACTCCACAACAGTTGGCTTCCCATTTGAGAGGGCCTAAATAAAGACACCAGAAAAAACCCAATAAGCAACAAACAAAGTATAAGTACAGAACATGGCATTAACCATTTACATTCAAATGGAACATTATTTTCAGAAAGCAATTCCACTTTGAATTTGACATCAAAACTAATATAAACCAATCAAAACTTTTCTACTAAAACTAGAAAATTCACTTAGACACCCTATTAACAACCAAGAGAAATCCTTCAATTGCTTTCAATTCCAAGGATATAAACAAATTACATTCCAATTCATAAACAGAAAACCCACTTTTTACTAATTAACATAAAAAATAATGGCGAATAATAATAAAAATTCCACAAAGGATAACCTTCCTTAAAACCCATTATTAAAAAGAATTAGAACTCCCTCTCAATTGTAACCTATTTGACAAGAATTCCAACTTTAATCCAATAAAGCAAACCTCTTCATAAGGCAAAGCAGCAACAGATATGTCCTTCAAAGAAACACCAAAATCCAACCTTGAAGACAAGAAAAGTCCGGCAGCAGCAAGAAGAGAAACCACTGCTATTCGTTTATTAACATCTTTATTTGGAAATTCAGGTGACCCAGAATCTTGGGACGCGCCTGTATCCTCTCTTTTGGTATCATCACTAACCGGACCAGGTTCAAGGACCTCTTTTTCCTGCATTAAAAGAAACAGACCAGTTCAGAAAAGATTATAACTTGCTATTTAGTGACATAAGTGAAGGAGAAAATGGGGGCTGTACCGTTGGGGTGGAGGTTTCAGATGAGTCGGGGTTTGTTTGGCAAGAAAAAGTAGGGAATTTGCGAGGTTTGGTTTGATAGTGGAAAGTGGATTTGAGGAGTGATGGTGAAGAATGAGAGGCTTGAAGATATGGCCGGAATCTATGGAGACAAAGAGGGTTTGGAGCCACACGAGCCATGGAGATTTTGTAAGAGAAGTCGGTTTTTCTTTTTTGGTTTGTATTAGTGAATTTTTGTGCTAATTAATTTTAACGGTCAAGGTGTAAGCGGGCACTTGTTTTTGCCTCTCTAGAACGAGTGGATTTTGAAGGTCGTTCTAAGAACAATTTTTTTTTTAATTATTTTAGATTGTTTTCACTTGCTAAACCCGCCGGGTCGGTCGGGTCATGGCTCACTTTATTTTTTCATCAGCCCGGGTCGAATGGGTCTCAGGTCAATCCGTCAGGCCGGGCTATTTTATCATTTAAAAAATATTATTAACCACCTCATGATTCCAACCCTATCTCAGGCATAGTTTTTAAACCCGGCCCGGGTTCCGGGTTTTGACCAGGTCACCGGATTTTGACCGGGTCGGCCGGGTCAATTTCTATTTTTTATATTATAAGAATTATCTATTCAAAAAGATATATTTTCTTTAAAGAGGATTCTACAATGATAAATAACAACTCTTGAAATATTATAAACTTGTCTCTTGAAATAATACATATAAGGAATTACAAAAATGTTTAATTACATTAAATCTTTTTCGGGTGGAGAGACTTATCATTTCATATTAAATGAAACAACTACTAAAAATATGCAAATTGCATTATCCATCCCCTCACATAGATTTAATGTTTATTTTTTTAATATGATCTTCAATTTTTTTTATAATTGCATTTTTTAGCATAATTCAAGAATAATTAAATTAAATTTATTAATTAAGGATAAAATTAAAAAAATAGGAGACAAAGTAGAAAAGACACTATAAATGGATGATGGTTTCAACGCTCACATGAAAAAATAATTTAGTCCTCATACTTTAAAAAATATACATATTTAGTTTTTAATATTTTTTCAATTTAATTTCAATACAAAAATATATTTTTATTATTTTTTAGTTCTTGTTTTAAAAGAAGAGAGAGGTCGTTGGATTCCAGTAGTAAAGATATAAAAATATTATTGGTGTCGATTTCAGCCACTAAAATACTCGGTCTTTGTCTCAAATAGTTCTATTTGATAAGGAAAATTCATATTATATGTTTTTTTTTTATCTTGAAAATGCTTAAAAATATATTTAAGTTCGAGAAGATTTTTTATTTCGAGTTTTGAGAAATTTTTTGGGTTTTTTGAGATTATTTATAAGTTTATCATAATTTCTAAAGTGTTTAAAGCTATAATAAGTTGAAAATGAATTTTTGAATTAAAAATTATTAATTCTGATTTTTCAATCAAAATATTATTTTAATATATTTTTAAATAAAAATATTTTAAAATATAACCATTACCATAACACCAAATTACTATTGATCTTAAACATCTTAATAAATTTCTATAAAATACTAGCCGAAACCCTTATAACAAACAACATGATTTCTATTCGGACCACAAATCCATTACGAGTGCAAAGTTCTACTTTATAAATGGCCAAATAAATAGATGAAGTACATGCCTAAATCCAAACTGAAAAGGGACACAAGTCAAGAAGCCTGACCAGGGGGGATAGAGTCTTGAAAAAAAAAAAAAAAACCATAAAAAAATTTGAACATTATTTAAGGTATCAAGCACGAGGAGCAATGAGAAAACAAAAGGCAATAAACATTTAAATAAACAAATAGAGGTTCATGTGATCTGAAATCTTGAAATTCAGTAATCCCTTTTGTATTCCTTTTTTAATAATAATTAAAAAAAATGAAGCCAAGCACTAAGAGCAGTGATCTCGACAAGGAACTAAGATCTTTAAATTAATTTTATTTTGATATTAATTGAAGGAATTAACAAACAAAAAATATTAATGGTATCCTTTATGAATCCAAACTGTTCTCGTATCTTCACAAGATCCGTAACTTATTTGACCTAGAATGGATCAAGCCTGGCCCTTCTTACCTCCCAAAAGCATTAACTTCTTTTAACCTAATATTCAAAATCATTAAAGTTTTCATTGAACCATGCCATTTCAAAATACTCCAAGCAACTTGATAGCTTGAATGTGATTTTTGTTGTAAGCACACCAAAGAAAGTCTAACCTCTTAATCATTGTTTGGTATTGTGTTCTAAAGGGTTCAGTAAATTTTAATTTTTATATTATTTTAGATATTAAAAATAATTTTTTAAAAATTAAAAATTATTATTTTAATGTATATCAGAGAAAAAACATTTAAAAAATTATATGCTATCGAGCTTTATTATTTTCCTTAAAAACTAAGCAATATAGCAAATTAATCACTAAAATTAGCATTTTCAAATAAAAACAAGGTGTGTTTTAATTAGAAATGCGATTACAGTTATTTTTCAAAATATTTTATATTTTAAAATATATTTTATATTTTTTTTATTTATAAAAAAATATTTTTAATATCAACATATCAAAATAATTTAAAATTTAAAATATTAATTAAATAAAAAAATTATTTTTTTAAAAACACTTTTAAAATATAAATACAGTAGAAACATAATTGTACCAGATAATCTAACAGTTACTGACACCTCGTTTCTATATTCTTTCGTCATGGATACCCTAAGCATCGCACAAATTCTTAATTAAGGAGTTTGCCAATAGATTATTAATTTTTTTCTGGTACAAAAGGAATATGAAGGAATAAATAAATATATATTATAACACTAGCAGAGAATTTCGATGGGGAAAAAAATGGAATTTCTTTATTTAGAAATATATTAAAATAATATTTTATTTTTAAAAAATTATTTTTAATATTAATATATTAGAATAATAATAAAAATACATGAAGAAATTAATTAACAGAGATGCAGAGAGAAAGGGATGGAAGATGTGATTAATCCAACATTAAAATTACAATTTAGAACTAAATAAAAATAATTTTAAAAGTGGAACATTGATATTAGCATAAATAAACATAAAAAGATAAAACTAAAATAAAAATCGAAAATCATGCGTAGAAAGATGAGATTAGTACAAGGAACTATTTGTTAAGCTATGGCATTAGTAAAAACAACATCCATGGTGATTCAGAAAATTTGTAGGAATAATTAAAATATGTTTTTATTACGTAAAAAGAAAAGGAAAAAGAAGAAAACTCTTTGGCAATATATAATTGCGAAGTCCCACCACCACATAAATAAAATCATTTCTTTGTATTTATCAACCTCACGAATCAAGTCTTCTAGGATCAAGTCTGTTAGCCGTAAAATCCATGGCTTCGACGTTCTCACCACTGCCGCTCAGAACTCTCTCTCTCCACCGTATGCGCAATGCACACCCCACCATCTGCGAGGCGCACATCAGTCCTAAACCTGCGCCGATTTCCTTCCCCGGCCGAAGACATCTTCTCTTCATGCTAGCGTCAGCACCAGCACTGGCCTTAAGAGAACCATCTTCACTGGCGCAGGACATTCCCTTGTTTGGGCTGAGGAAGAAGCTGAAGAGGGCGGAGGAGGAAGCTGAGGAGCTGGTGAAGGAAGGGTTTGAGACGGCGGAGAAGGGGTTGGAGACAGCGGGGAAAGGGATCGTGACGGTTGAGAGAGGGATTGAGACAGCAGAGAAAGAGATTGTGACGGCAGAGAAGGAGATTGAGGAAGCGGTGAGCTTTGGCGGGCTAGCGCAGGCTGGTGCGGTGGCTGGAGCGGAGGTTGTTGGGGTCTTGGTTGCTACTGCCATTGTTAATGGGATTTTGGGGCCTGAGGGTTCTAAATCATAAGTAAGAGGATTAGCCAATTAATTATAGTTGATTGTGTTTATTTTGATAATTTATGGCAAATCCCATTTCATATCTCCTTGCTCTTAACGAGTTATATCAATAAATCATTTACAAATTGAATGTATTTATTGCAAAATGAAATGTGCATTAAAATGGAGGAGAAAAGTGATTAGTGTGTGAAGAAATATCAAGTGATAATATCCCATCAAAAGGTACACATTTGCTCTCATTTTCTGCAATTCTAATGAACTTCGACTATTTTATGCTGCAAAATGAGATAATAAAGAAATGGTGGATTGGATGAATTGAAGAAAATGGTTTGATCTGTTTGAGTTTTATTATGATTTGACGCGTTTTGGTTTATGATTTGTGTCCTTTATATTAGTTTGGTAAGCAAAAGTGTGTGGTACCACCACTTCAAATTTATCAAAAAGATCTGAAAAACAAATAGATATCCCGGGCTACAAATTTATTTGCTAAGCGGTTCTAAGATATTATAGTTGTCTGATCGGAACAGAACCACCTCGGAATGACTTGGGTTATTGAGTTGTCGGGTTATCTAGTGAGCTCGGGTCAATTATTTGTTATCAAAAGGATGCTATTTCATTTTCTTTAAAAAAAAAAAAAATTGATGTTGGCTCTGTTAGCTCTGAGCTAGTCAATCGGGTTATGGATCAGTCTATCAAGCTAATTTGATCAAGTTATAAGTCATGAATTTCTCGATCAACTTGTCCGCTGAGCTTTTTTACATGGTTCCAGCAACTTAGATTAGACAAGTAATGTTGATGATCAAAAATTGATAGAAGATTATGCTATATATCTTAATCATAATCTTTTTTTTTTCCTAGAAATGTTATAAGTAATGAACTATTACATGTTTTCTACTACTGAGGCTGAAAATAAATCTATTGTCAGTGTTGTTGAATAAAAATAGATGCACTCTCTCCTTACTTATCTAGGCATTTTGATTTCTTTTTCTCCTCACTTATTTTTTCTAATGTAATTTTTTTTTTGAAATACATTGAAATTGATTATTATTTTGTTCACGACACATTTGCTCAAAAGGAACTAAATGTTTGATTTATATCTTCTAACGATTAATTTCTTGATATTCTTACTAAGTTATTGTTGTTTGCTCACGTCTCTTATCTTCGATCCAGTATAAATGTGTTTTTTCCCCTTGTTTAACTTAAAAGGGTGTATTAAGGACAGCCTAGAAAGCAGTAGGTTAGGTCATGCTATTCGTACCTCTATACTATACTAGTTTAATATCCAAAACCCATTAAGTTAACATATCTAAATGTAAGACTTCTCTTATAAAAAGTATATAAACATATGTTATATATATATTGAAAACTCCCTTCATAAATAATATAGACTACTAGTGTAAATTTAT